AGACTCAGTAACTTCCCGAGGTCTCCCAACTCACTGGTGACAAGGTGGGGGGGCTCGGCCCCAGGCTCCTGGTCTGGGGGCCCCTGTATGAACTCGCCCTACACCCTCCTGTGCCAGGAGGGGATCACCCAGGGAGTGATGAAGGACAAAAAACAGAAGTGGCCCGAAGACAGAATCCTGCGCAACTTTAAAATGTACAAAGTAGAAAATAGGAAGGAACCCAAGACATAGACGGACAGGGAACAGCTGGAGAGGAGAAGAGAGACCAAGAATGCTCGGTGCCCTTCGAGGTATGTGGTGTCCTTCCGGGCGGTGCAGCCGGAGTGACGGAGTGGAGGTGACCTTGTCGACCTCCCCAGACAACCTAGAGCACCGAGGCCTAGCTCTCCTGTCCTTCGAACAGACACCCACCGGTGTACTTCAGTGGAACTCATCGTACCAAGAGCAGAGGGGGTTGAACCATCACTCAGCCACCTCAGGGCCACCTCCTCCCACCAGAACTGCCCAGACCGTCCACAAAACCCATCCCAAGAGGACAGTCATCTCCACCGGGGATGGGGAAGGCGGTAAATACTGCAAAGGAAACACAGAGTTGAGCCCTAAAGTGACACATCTCCCTGCAACGGAAGTGATGAGGAGGTACAGTCTGTTCAGGTGGCATCTAGTCACCCCTTGGACAGCCCGATATTTCTTCTCCGTTTGGAACTGCGCCGAGGTCCCCGTCCTCGGGCCGCCATCCCGGGCAGCCTGGACCCCCAGGGAGGCGAGCACAGGTCTTTAGGCTCTGGGTCGGGTGTTACAGGCACCGAATGAACAACAGCAGGCAGAAGTGACAGTCTTCAGGAAATGGAAATGGGAATGGGAAGGTCTATCTGAGCTAATCCTGGGGGCAGACACGGGACAATCGATTGGGACACAGTTTGCCGCCTCTCCCAGTGGCGAGGACGCCGTCCCTCCGCTCCAAGCGGCTGCCGTCGGCAATGAGACCATTTCCATCTTTCCTACCGTCCACCCTGCTGACCGCTCCACACACGCCCGGTCCTCTGACGGGAGAGGCCTGGTCCCAAAATGACAGCTTGGAAGAGCCGAACCCCCGCTCCGGGCTCTCACAGAGCTTCACCTGAGAGACCAGCTTCAGCGTAGAAACATCCGGTGCCCCGGTCTGCAGGGTGCCATGGGCCCCCCAAAGCTGCAGAGCCTAGGAGAGAAAAGGGGAGTGAGGGGCTGGGGAAATGCCCCCCAACAGGTGTCAGCAGGTGCTCGATGAAGAAGAATCGAGGAGCTCGGGGAGGATCTAGAAAGTTCCATCCTTCGGCGCAGGCATTGTTTTCCAGGCAAACCAGAGAACACCGTTCCGGGCAGAAGGAGAGTCTGAATAAGTGTGTGGAGGAAGGTGTCTGGGGTTGGCGAGGAGATGACAGTACAGTGACCTGCGGGAAGGAGAGAGAGGAGAGAACACTCCGAGGGTGGGCGACTTCCCTGGAGCGAGGGATCCAGATGAGAAAACAGAAAGTGGACACGATCAATAACTGACTCGTATTGGATTCATGGATCACTGCTCAGGGATACCTCTTCAATGATGCTTGCTCTTGGCAGCACCGCCGGGTCCTCAGGTTGTCCTCAAAGACTGACGTTTACAGTTTTAAAATACCCGGAAGCTTCAGGCCTTGGGAACCTGGAATTCATCAACTGTTTGCTATTATTCAGATTCAAGGGCTAAACCAACCCGGGCAAAAGAGGAAGAATCGAGGGGTGTCTGAACCGTCCAGAGGCGATGACAGAATGAAAGAGAAGAGGAAGTCTGAGTAGAAACGAAACTTCAAAAAAGAGAAACCAAAAAAAAAAAAAAAAATAGTGAACACTGGCTAAACATATAATTATAGCTATTCAAAACAGTCAACGTTCCTTTTTTTTTTTTTTTCAAGTTAAGTATAAGCAAACATCAGAGGTAGTCCCATGTCAGCCTTTACCGTCGAAAAACGGGAACTTTTCCCAAGGGCACCACCGATTTGGTTGGTAAGATTTCGTCATTTTTAGGAACTATTTTTTGTTGTTGCATTTTTGCAGTAATATGAAATAAATATGAACATGTTTCGAAAAGAGGATCAAGGAGCAGGGAGCTGGTATACCCTGTACTGACCCCGACACAGCTCCTCTGTGACAAAGTCAGTGTCCCCCTGCTCCGCCCCGTCTAACAAACCAAATCTCTTCGACTGCTTGGAATCTTTGTAAAACGTATCACTGAATACTCAACTTATCTTTGAAAATCATCATCATAATGACAACATCATATCAGAGAATAAGTAACTGTATCCGTTGATCATGTATCTTACATAGAGACACAGAAACCATCAACATTAACCTCCCATTATACTAGAAACCAGGAGTGATTTCCACCACTCCAGTGAGAGAGAAGTGTGTTATTTGGTTCACAGGTGGTAGGAAAACTCTTCTATTAAATAAATGAAGAGAAGGAAGACCTTAGTTTTAATATGAAAAGAGAAGAGAGAGAGACCAAAGGAAAGAGGGTTAAAATGTCCTGCCACTGATATGTTCACACCAAGTTACAGACAATCTGAAAGGGCCTGACAACAGTACTGGGTAACTGACAACCAGCTCACAGCCCTTCCTCCCCCCATCCTCCCGGAACCACGCTCCATCAGCTCCGCCCTCCTGTCACTCAGGGTCCAGCCTCCTTCAGGCCTGAACTTGAGCCTGAAGAACCCCTCTCGGGTTTGCTTCCTGTCTGCTCCTGCGAGTTACAGTGTGTCTACCCAGAGTGTTACAATGCGTCTAACCAGAGTGTTACAATGCGTCTACCCAGAGTGTTACAATGTGTCTACCTAGAGTGTTACAATGTATCTACCCAGAGTGTTACAATGTGTCTACCCAGAGGGGTAGCTCTCTATTCCAGCCCTATGAATTATTGTAATGATGCAATCACAATGAATTTAGCCCTGGCTGCTTAGTCTCAGTGGTTAGAGCATCGGCCTTCAGACCAAAGAGCCGCGGGTTCGATTTCGGTCAAGGGCACGGACCTTGGTTGCGTTTCAGTCCCCAGCCCTGGGTGGATCATGTGGGAGGCACCCAATGAATGTGTCCCTCTCACATCGATGTTTCTCTCCCTCTCTCTCTCTCTCACACACACACACATACACTCTATCTGAAAATAAATGGAAAATATATATATTTGAGTGAGGATTTAAAAAATTAAATAGCCCGACTGGTGTGGCTCAGTGGTTGAACACTGACTGACCCCTGCACCAAGAGTTCACCAGTTTGATTCCCGGTCAGCACACATGCCCAGGTTGTGGGCCCGATCCCCAGTGGGGGGCATGCAGGAAGTGGCCAATCGATGTCCTCTCTCATCGATGTTTCTATCTCTCTCTTCCTCTCCATTCCTCTCTCTCTAAAATCAGTAAAGAAAAAAACATAAAGAAACGAGGTGACCTGGCTGCTGCCGGGTCTTTGAGGATAGCAGCCATGGGGGCGCACCTGGCCAGGCGCTACCTGAGCGATGTGTCAGGGGAGCCCGACCCCCGCGGATGCCCACCTTCCTGCCCGACTTTGGCTTCCCTGGGCACAAGGAGCGGGAGATGGTGGCTACACAGCAGGAGACCATGGACGCACAGCTCCTGGTCCAGCGGCCGGACTACTGCGCCCCCACCTCATCCGGCTGCTCAGGTGCAAGTGGACAGCTCCCCAAACTCCCCGGCCTGCAGCATGAGTGGCATGACCGGGAACACTGCGGGCACCACGTGGTGCGGGTGAAGGGGTGTGAGCAGGAGCAGCGGCTGCTCCAGTGGAAGACGGGCGGGAGCCGAGGGAGGCAGACGTGGCCAGAAGCAAGGTGGCCCCATAGTGGATCCACTCGCCAACCTTGGATGAGTGGAGAAGTAAAAGCCTCCAGGCCCTCAGCCCACCCTCCAAAAAAAGGAAAAACAAATAAATAAGTAAAGGAAATGGAATGTTACCAGCTGGCTGGTGGGGGTACCAAGGGAAAGAAAGATGCTCCTGTAGGAAAACGCCGCTCCTTTCGGGGAGACTCGCGGGGCCGGTGCGGGACGGCTGTGTGGTGGGTGTGGAGGGGGAGACGACTCTGGACGCTCAGGAAACACCGTCATTCATTCACGCCTCAGACAGCGTGGCTCTCGGCGGTTTCGCCGGTGGCTTTAAACCCGGCCCCGGTTACAGAAAGCAAAGGGGGGAGGAAAACGTCTCGGCATCGGTCCAAGGATCAGCTTTTATTTCCCATAGAAATCTCCGAGACTATCGATGGCATTTGGTGATTGTCCACGCCCTCCCGGATCGAGTCAAACCGAGGACGCTGGGTGTTACCGTCCTGAGGACAAGGCCGAGGGGGAGCAGCGGGTAACGTAAGTGCCTGTTGAGCTGTCAGGGGGACCTCCAGCCTCCAGTGTGCATTTCCCGTATTGCTGGTTGAGTCACCACGCGGAAGGCTCCCTGGGACTCGAGCATAGACAGCCAGAGGGCCAGACGTTGCTCCCATCTGTCCGATCTTGTCACGGGAGGTCCGGGGACAAGACAGACTCGCTCCTCAGCTCATCGCTATGCACAGTCAGCAAACCTCCTTCCTAGCGAAGGGCAAATACATGTGTCCCCAGTGATCACGGAGTCACTAGAAACAAAGAAAGGGCTAGAGCTGCAGGTCACTCTGTCCTGGGGGGAGGGGGAAGACCGCTTCCTCGGGTCTGTCCGGGGCCCCAGCCCCTCGGCCAGGTGTCCTCAGTTCACACCGGAGAGCTGACATCGCCTGGGTTCCGTTCTCCCACACCCGCACTGACAACTTGTTTTTCCGGATTCCACCCTTGGGCTCTCCTTGGGGCCCGGCTCTCTGTCCTGTCCGGCCGTTTGGGAATACAGAACTGTGTTTACAGTTGGCTGTTGACACCACACACTGAGTTGCTGGGGTTCTGCAAGGGTAAACAGACTTGTCCTTCCCAGAGGCCCCAGAGGCCCAGAGGCTTGGAGAGAGCACCATGGCCAGCCAGTCCCAGGGCATCCACCAGCTCCTTCAGGCAGAAAGGAGAGCCAAAGACAAGCTGGAGGAGGCCAAGAAGAGTAAGTGTCCCTTCCGCCTGGCTGGGAGGGTTTTGTCACCGATGGCAGAGGGGGAGGGGAAGCAAGCGCCTCAGCAGGAGGCTGACTCGTCCCAACCCTGGTGTTGACACTCTTCTGGTGAGACTGGGGCCAGTGGCAGGTTCCCCATCCCTGTAACAGGGACAAAGTTCCCTCGCTCGGATCCTCCCGGGAGGCTGAGACATGCTTGCGGACACAGAAGTTGCAGACATGCAGGCTTCCCCTGTCCCTGCAACTTCCTCTGGGCGCCTGGCCTCGTGTCGCAATGTTGTGAAAGGACCTCTAGCTGCAACTGCACCGGCGAGGGGACCGAGGGGACCCGAGCAAGTCCCACGGGCCGCGCCCTTGCCTGCTTCTGGAGGACCTGCCGGAGTCCTTGTCCCTGTGACTCTGAATTCCCCGCGTTTCCAAACAGCTCCGCTGTCTCCGTGTGTCCTGACTTTGTGTTTCCCGAGTACCACCTCTAGGTCCTTCCCATAGAACCTCCTCAATACACGCCCACCCCCCACCCCTTTCGTGGTCACAACGCCCATGTGAACTAGGAATCGCTCATTCCTGCTGTCGGTACTTAGCCACGGGGAGGCCATCCTTTGAGAAGGGTGATAATTTTTAAGAAATAGAAGCTATAGTGCCGGGCACGATGCTCAGTGCTCAGTGCTCACCTCACTTAACCCCCGCGTGACCCCTTTCCGCAGCGGGGGAGGGATGCTTGAGAAGGTAGGAGGTGCTCAAGGCCACACAGAGGGGACACGGCAGAGGCGGGGTCTGGATGGGGTCCGAGTTCCAAGCCAAGGTCCTAACAACCACGCACGTCATATCTGTCAGCGAGGGTCACGACTTTGCCACCCAGCGAGACAGAGGCCATGGGCTAAAACCGTGGCTCACGTCACATTCGGGGTGAGGGTGGGGACGGGGCGAGGAGGCCCCCACAGAGTCAGTTGCAATGTTTGCAACAGGACATGGGAACCGTTGTCCCCGTGCCAGGCAGGTGGGAGGGAGGCACACTTCAGCCCCTGGGGTTGGGACCTCAGGTGAACCACTCTCCTTTCTTAAGACGAGAGGATTTCCTGGACTTGGCCGTGTGGGTGCCGACCAAGGGGAGGCGTCCCTGGGGAGGTGCCAGGAGAGGCAGGAAGGAGACCGACCTGACCTACGTCGCAATGTCTCTCTGCAACCACACAAATGATTGCAACGCGGCGGAGAGCAGATTCTGCAGAAAACAGCAGCCTCGCACCTGCGGGCGGGCACACGAGAAAACCCCCTTACTGTGTATTCAAATGCCTGTGACCACATTCAAAACGCCCAGAACAGGACATCGTATTTTTAAGGCGCAGTCGTTGTGCTAACCCAGCTTCCTCATTAGGAAGAAACACAATGGCAATCGATACAATCAGTGAGCACACACAGAATCAATGTCATCACACGATGCAAGCGATTCCGACCAAGCGCTTCTCCTTTTTCAAAGTCACTCGGGAAGAAAGGTGTTACGGATCATGTACTTGTTCGGACCGGGAGCCCCTAGAACGAGCCAGCCTCAGATTCCACCACAGATACAAGCCAGACACACGCCCTTCCCCCTCTTTGGGACGAGAGCGCGCGCACTGTGTTATTTGTACACGCATGTGTGTTGCCCCTGCCAATAAGTTAATGCCCTTGGGTCCTTTTTTCTCAGTCTTGGTTCGGGAATTATTCAAGCAAAGGTTCAACCAGCAGTAGAAATAACCGTGGAAACATTCCGGAAAATTCTGGACCTCCCACGACTCACCTCTGCACTCCGTGTTCCAGGGAATGTCCGTCTGTCCCTGTGCCTCGGAGAGCAGAGGCTGGGAGGACAGTGGTTCCTGGGAGGGAGCTGTTATCTCGCTCGGGTATCGGCCGCGGAAGCTCATGGTCACAGCTTCGCTGACCACACCCGCCCTATAACTTCTCCAACACTCTGAGGCCAAAGCAGCACTGCTGCCGTGCCTGGGATTCGGGGCCATCTCTCCCAGCTCAGTGGCTTTGATTTCAGTCATTTCATTGGGTGCTTATTTGTGGGGGGCCTATTGCCAAGCCACTGGTGGTAAGACCTAGACCCTTCCTTGAGGAATCTCCCAGTGACGTAAATGCATGAATGGACACGAGAGAGAGGGGGCGCCGTGCGAGGGTCAGGAAGCCCTCGCTGGGAGGGACTGGGGTTCCATGGGGCTTTCTTTGTTCCGGAAGGTCTATGATCACTTTCTCTTTCTTACATCCCTTTATTTGAAAACCTCTTGGAAGCTTGACGCCTGAATGTCCATTTAAAGAAGAAAGAGAGGGACGGGGACAGGGAGAGGGGGAGGTAAAGAACACAGCAATTCGAATCGTAGTCAGTTTTTTAAAAAGGACAAGATTAATGAGGTGGTAGTACTCATATATTATGCTGCAAAAATATTAATACTCCCATTAAGGAGGCCTGCCTCAGATCTCCCGGAGCTTTTACATAATACATGCTCCATCCGGTGTAAATGTTTTGCCTGAGGGGACACGGACCTGATGAGCAGGGTGGTTCCTGGAGGCTGTGAGGTCTTTGCAAACAAAGCACTCGGCTCCTTCCTCGGAGACAGTCACCAGCCACTGAGAGAGACCTTTGGGGGGTGGGGGAGGCAAGAACAGAGAGTAAACAGGTTTGAAAAGCTGGGATGTGAGGCCACGGAGTATAAAAAGCATCATCGGCCTTTTTAAAAGGGTTCTTTGTCTACACGTAAGTGTCTTTGTGTAAGTTCGTTAGCATCTCTGTGCCTTAATCTCTTCTTTTTGTGAAATGAACGTACAGCCAAGATGTTTCGAGGAGCAGAAAACTATACCTAAGATAGAGGAGTACAGACTAGTATTTTTTTAAAATATTTTTTTATTGATTTTTTAGAGAGGAAGGGGGAGAGGGAGAGAGAAACATTGATGAGAAAGAACATCAGAGAGAACATTGACTGGTCGCCTCCTGCACGCCCCCCACTGGGGATCGAGCCCACAACCCAGGCATGGGCCCTGACTGGGAATCGAACCAGCGACCTCCTGGTGCATGTGACCACGCTCAATCACTAAGCCACACTGGCCAGGCTACATAGTTACTTTCATATATAAAATATTTACTTATAGGTTATTATAAGTAGTAACAATGGAAGAATGGAATAGAACAATGTAGTTTCATTCTTTAAAAACAAATACTGTTGCAAGTTCTGAGTCAACTTCTTCTGTGACTGGAGAGCTGAGGACTGTTCTGATGAGATGATGGGGTAACTCAGATATTTGCTGCTATTCCCCGACCGTGGATCAAATTATATTTAACACACTCACACACGTTTATATGAAAACAGCTGTGCTGTTTGGTTGAACGTGGATGGAAACTCAGTGGGTTGGCCCTATTTTATTTATTTGTTTTTTTTTTTTTATCCTCACCCGAGGACATTTTTCCATTTTTTTGTTCAGATAGAGTGGGAGGGAGAGAGAGGAAGAGAGAGAGAGAGAAACATCGACGTGAAAGGGACACATCGAGTGGCTGCCACCGGCACGACCAACCAGGGCCGGGGACAAACTGCAACTGAGGTACATGCCCTTAGCGGGAACTGAACCCGGGTCTCTCTGGACCGCAGGCCGACGCTCTAACTGCTGAGCCAAACAGGCCGGGGCGGTTGGCCCTATTTTAAATGATCTTACTTCAAGTTCACCTTTTGCCTTTAAAAAGTGTTCTTTAACCAGGACCTAAAAGTGGGTGTGTTGGTTTCTGTTTCCACAGAGGAGCCTCCACCCTGTCCTGCAGCTCCAGGTCCAGGGTACACCCTCGCCTCTTTGATAAGAATTCGATCAGTTGTAGCAGACAGTCCAGGTCCCATTGACAGAAGAAACAAAGGCCATTGATTCTCTGAGATCTCTGACCCTCTCACGTCCAGCTCTGACCTGCTGGGAGGACGGTCTTTCTTTCGTCCACACCCATGGCAGACGGACAGCTCCTCCGCTCTGCTCCCACGCTGTTTGCAAATGCTCGAATGTTCGTGACTCCACGTCACCCTGAGAACCCACACTTTACTTTTCCCACATGTGCACCTGAGCCTGTCCAGAAACAAACACTCTGTCTACCTGGGCAGCTGCAGGAAACAGCGTCTCTTGAACTCAGAGTTACAAAGTGCGTGGTGGCTTGTAGGCTAAATGCTCACAGCCGGGTAGAAGCGGAACCGAACCGCCCTGTGCCCGGGAGACGCTCCAAAGCACGTCAGAGTCTCCAGTGGTCCCTGACACTGTCTTCTCTGTGGTCCCCGTGGAATGACCCTTTCGTGCCAAGTGAATACTTAAGGAAATGTTTCCACTTTCTACTTAGAGAGCACTTTGGCTATTAGAGTTAATCCAATCTATTCTGGGAGGTCTCTGGGATGCCAACCACGCATAGTTTTTATTGTATTATTATTTTTTTATTGATTTGAGAGAGGGGAAGAGAGAGGGAGCGAGAGAAGGAGAGAGAGATAGAAACAGCGATAAGAGAGAACATCACCTGGCCGCCTCCTGCATGCCCCCCCCTGGGGATCGGGCCCACAACCTGGGCATGTGTCCTGACCGGGAATTGAACCAGCGACCTCTTGGTTCAGGGTTGACGCTCAACCACTGAGCCACACTGTCCAGGCTCAGTTCAGTTTTAACCTGCTCAAAGTTGATTTTTTTTAACCCTTTCCCCACAAATCACCTGCACATCAATCCAAACACCTTCCTCTCCTTATTTCCGCCCACAGGCCCCCCATGGAACACACCCTGTTAAGGTTTACCGAACGTTCAATGTATCCCCGGGACACAGGCCACGTGTCTACAAATGAATGATTTTATTAAGGTGGAACCATTTACAAAAGAGTTCCCCCAAAATACATTAGAAAGGATCTTCTTGCCTCTTTTTCTAGTATCCAAAATAGACTATCTATCCCCCTTTATTTCCCCCCTGGCTAATGAGTCTGTTCAGTAACTGGCTCCCTGCTCAGGAATGTTTCTCCGACTCTGCAGTCCTGGCTGTGTATTTATATTTGTGACTTACTCTCTTAACACAAGACATGCCTGTAGGGATGGAGGGGGAAGAACAGATTGCCTAGAATTTTAGAAGTTTGCATAAGGTGGAGATTTTTCACAGAACAGATAGAATCTAGATTTCCGTTCCATTGATTTCCTCGTTGATTTTGTGTACTTTTCACAATGCCACGTGTTTTACGGCTTGGAAGCGGTAGCAGCCTGTACGTGTTTCCAGCAGACACTGTATTTGTGTCCAGCGGAGGCTGGGACGCCGTCGTGTGGATGTCTGCAGCCTGGCTCCCAGCCCCACGCATGATGCTCGGCAGGTGCTCACCCAGCGCTGAAGGAATGACGGATGGATCGATGAGCCTACAGGGCTCTCGGCACCTGCTTGAGCAGTATTTAAAGCTGTGATGCACGAGATAACTGTGCTCTCTAAGCCCCAAATCAGAACATTTGGCCCGAGGAACCTGTATGACCTTGTAAGAACTTTGGGACCCAATATTTGATTGTCATAAATAAAATCTGATCCCACGGGGTCACCCCTAATGTGTGGTATTGAGAAAGAAGAAGGGGGACCCCTTTTGTTTTTCATGCTTAGGAAGAAAGAGGTCTCATTTTAAAGTCTGGACATCTCGTCCTGGCTGGTTTGGCTCAGCGGTTAGAGCGTTGGCCCACGGACCAGAGAGTCCTGGGTTCGGTTCCCGCGAAGGGCATGTACCTCAGTTGCAGTTTGTCCCCAGCCCTGGTTGGGTCATGTAGGTGGCAGGCAGTCGATGTATCTCTCTCACGTCGATGTTTCTCTCTCCTCTCTCTTCCTCCCTCTCTCCCTCCCGCTCTATCTGAAGATAAATGCAAAAATGTCCTCGGGTGAGAATAAAACAAACAAACAAAAAAGTCTGGACATGTCTGTAGACAGACAGAGCAGCGAGGCAGGGGTTAGCCCAGGGGCTGTGATGTGTGCACTTGGTGTCACCTCAGCAGATCGGGGGGCTGTGGGCCCCATTTCTCCCACTGGATTATCGGGGTAGCATCTGCAGGCCCTCGTCCCGGCAGCTCCGAGTCCAGCCAGAAAACGCTGCGCCAGCCCCAAGGCCCTGGGGCCTCCCCTGTTTAATTGAAAGAGAACCAGCAGGTGACCGGTGCCACCACTGGGGTCACAGACAGGCTGGCTGTGTGACGGAGCCAATATGCGGCCGCCACGTGGAATCCCGGGGTCCGGGTGCCGTGCTCCCTGCCATTATTACTTTCTTTTTTATGGGCTGGAGCCGTGACTCTGAAACCAACACATTTATGTATCATGGGATCAAGGTGGAGAGGGATGATGTTTGATGTGATCTGGTTTATAAAACAGTTATGTACCCTACCACCCATCATTACTAGGAAAATGTTGCTACATCTTAAGTATAGTTTGGTCCTAAGGTTAGCGACAGCGGTGGTAAAAAATGGGCAGGAATCAAGGAGTCATTTTCCCTCCTGACGCATCGTCTGTTTCTGCTGGGAATGAGCTGGGCATGTCTGGCTGCCACAGAGCCATAGAGAATAAAGGAACCTCTGCGTGCAAAAGGGTCGCGAGGCTGAATTAAGAGGGAAAAACGATGAGCATTGTTGTGAGTGTTCCTTGCCCCTCCAGACACTCACTTCCACCAGACCTTGGATTTTAAGGAGAATAAAGACGGGTCGGTTTGTTCTGAGCGGGGTTTACTGAATCCTGTTGCTGAGTAATAGACATTGAAAGAGTCGTGTTTCAATACAGAACCTTCAGCCCATATTTTATACAGTGATCAGCAAAGTAGCTCACACCTCGCAGGAGGAGGGATGTAAACCCTACACTCATCGCGACAAAGGTTCTTAGAAACACGGACACGTGAAAACGTGTGTCTCACCGACAGATAAAAGCTCACATCCCAATCTGCTTCTGTGCTCCTTGCTCAAGAAACAGTCATTTAGGTCAAAGTCTGCACACCCGATAACCCACCCTCGGCAAACATGATAAACAAAAGCTTGAGAGACATTCCCAGAGAGAAGAAATTGCTAAAATGTCAAAAAGCAATTCAGTGGGACCGGAAGACAATAGATTCGGGGGGTGGGGGGAGCATGTTAATATAGTTCAGAGTTTCTTTAAACTTTTAACGATCACAAAGCATTAGTACCTAACCCCCTGAAGGTGGCAGTCGGAGGGGGGAGGGGCTAGCAGCAATTAATGGCACTCTAACCCCCCAAACTTCCTCTGGTTGTCAGAAACTCACGTGCTCAGCTAATGACCCCCGAGGCACCGCCTGTCTGAAGGCTCGTGGGCCCTGCCGCGTGAGCTCACACATGTACCTTTGCTCTTCGTAAAAGGACGGGATCGCTACCGGACTCAGCCCCTAGCCAGTAAAAACAATTGGTTTTACAAGCAGTTGCAAGTCCCCCTCAGAGAAAGCGACGAGGAAAAAACATATATCTCTACTTTGATGTGCTCTGCAGCTCCGTCAGACGTCCCGGAGTCGAGGAATGACAAGGGAAAAAGTCCCAATAAAATGCTCTTAAAAACTGTAAGCCTGTTTGATAGAGTCGGAGCTGCGGGTCTGGGGCTCTGGCACTCGGCCACGGACCGAGGGACGCCTGGCCGCGAACCAGGACAGAAAACTGGACCAAATAACGTCTTCCCGCGTCAGTGACAGCAGAAATCTGTCCTGCGGCTGTCGCTGCAGAGAGGAAGGGGCAGATCTCACAGTCAGACACACACGCGGGGAAGGATGTTGCTCTTTCCAAGTTCAAAGAATCCCATTGGGAAAAAATGAATTCTTTTTTGTTTTGTTTTGTTTTACCCTCATCCAAGGACATTTTTTGTTTTTTGTTCAGATAGAGTGGGAGGGAGAGAGAGAGAGAGAAACATCGTTGTGAAAGGGACACATCACACGACCCAACCAGGGCCGGGGACAAATTACCACCGAGATACATGCCCTTAGCGGGAACTGAACCTGGGTCTCTCTGGACTGCAGGCCGATGCTCTAACCACTGAGCCAAATCGGCCAGGGCAAAAATTAATTCTTCATAGCGTTTTAGAGGAAAGTTTGCCATTCCGGGGGAAAATCGTCCCCAAAGAAGGCAGACCTCACCGTGTATGTTTGAAAACCTAGCTTGAAATGCCATGTGTATGACAAGGAAACATTGTTCTTTCCACACCCCGTGAACTTTCAGGAAAAGTGAAGAGGATCAAACAGGCCAAGGAGGAGGCCATGGTGGAAATTGACCAGTACAGGATGCAGACCGATAAGGAGTTTCGAATGAAACAATCCAAGGTGAGTAAGAAAGCCAGCATGGATTTCTATGCAAAGATATAAGATATAGCCCTGGCCGGTTTGGCTCAGTGGTTAGAGCGTCGGCCTGCGGTCCAGAGAGACCCTGGTTCGGTTCCCGCTAAGGGCACGTACCTCAGTTGCGGTTTGTCCCCAGCCCTGGTTGGTCGTGCGGGTGGCAGCCACTTGATGTGTCCCTTTCACGTCGATGTTTCTCTCTCTCTTTCTCTCTCTGCCTCCCACTCTATCTGAACAAAAAATGGGAAAATGTCCTTGAGTGAGGATTAAAAAAAAAGATACAAATAGCCATAAGATAGTCACAAATCCTAAGACATGAATAGTCTGAGCTGTGATACAGAGTTCAACCGAGGCTGAAGGTCCAACTAAATCTTAAACGTCACTGAATTGCTGATGGTTCATCTTGCATTTCAAGGCGTTTTGACTTGGCATTTAAAGTGTTGATTAATAAAGATAATCCAATTATCTCATCCTAGAATATATTAGAAATTATATTCTCAAATACACAAATTCAAGGGGTTGTTTCAAGTGTGACTCCAAAGGACAAAGTATTGACTAACACGTTTCTGTAAGAAAAAAAAAAACTTCAGAAAACATTTTCTAACTATTCAAGTGTACTACTAGAATCAATAACAAGTGTTCTACAGTGTTGTAGAATGAGTCTGTGGGACCAAGTTTCCTTCAGTAAATTCGAGATTTACAAATGACCAGAGTACATCCTCTTGCAAAGTCTATAGCGTCCTCTGGGGTTTCCGTATGGTTTCCGTTCCAAGTGGCCAGGGTCGTTTGTAACATATTCTGCTACCCATGTCTCCACTTGTCCTATTCTAACCATATCTATCTTCTTGTTCTTTCTCAAAGGGCCCAAGCGTGCCACTACCACAGGGCCTTTGCACATGACAGGTGCTCCCTGGAATCCTCTTTCTGACACATGCATCTTTCTCTCAATTCTACTCCATTGTTAGCTCCTCTTCCTAATCACCTAATTTCTATTTGTGTTGGGCAGTAAAAAAATAAACTAACTCCTCCACTTAGGTCATAGCTTTCATCACTCCTCAGAATAGTATAATATTTACTTTTTTTTTTTTTTTTGCCTGTTGCCTACTTTTCCTTCTGGAGTCTAAGCACCCAAACAGCAGGTCTTTTATTTGTTTGTTCTCTGTTTTTCTCAGTACTGGGATAGTGTCTGTCCATAGAAATACATACTCATTGAAAAAATAAAAAAAACTAAGCATTTCTTCCAGCCTTCCCTAGTGAGTCTTGTCATACCCGTGACGACCAGGACCTGAGAAAGCAATCATTCTGACACCAATCAGCTTTTCTTATCCTCTGTAGGATATTTGTGACACGGGTATTACCCCCCCCCCCCAAGTAACAACAAACCTGACCATGATTTTAGAAAGTGGTTGGGCACAACCTCGCAATAGCACATCTCCGGGAGAACCTCCTAAGGTGGGAATCTGGTTCAAGGTGCTGTTCACTGCATGGAGAGTAATTAGAACTCTTCTTCGCTCTCCTAATTAGAGCTCTAAGCCAATATTACAGCCAGCTGATCAAAAGCTCCCCGAGAAAGGTCAAGGCGCCCAGGCCTCAGCCACCCCGAGCATGTCGTAAAACCATTAGCACAGACCTACTTTCTGCACCATGACCCCCACGTGTCAGGCACATCGCTGCTTGGCTCAGCCTCATCGTCGTTAACCCAGGGCCAGTCGGGGTCTGAAGGGGCCCGAGAAGCCACCTCTCCGCCTCTTATCAGTGTTGTGTCTTCTATGACCTTTTTTTAAAATTTTTTTCTTTTTAATTTTTTTTCTTTATTGATTTTAGAGAGAGGAAGGGAGAGAGAGAGATAGAACACCAATGAGAGAGAACATCGACTGGCTGCCTCCTGCACGCCCCCCACTGGGGATCGGGCCCACAACCTGGGTATGTGTCCTGACTGGGAATCAAACCGGCGACCTCTTGGTGCAGGGTCGACGCTCAGCCACTGAGACACACCAGCCAGGCTGGATATTGCTTTTTCAAGCTCTTGTTCATGTGTGTGTCTGGTTAAGCCCCCTGACTTATCAATAGAATCAGCTATCCCAATGTGGATCATCTATCAACAAACATTGTTGCATCAAAGATTTACTTCTCTCTTGCCTATCAGTTCTCCCCAATGTATCTTCTACAGGAGGAGGTACTACGTTGCTACAATCTGGACTCCGGGGGAGGGGGGACTAAATCTGTTGTTAATGCAATAAAAGTTAGATGAATGGTGAATCTAAACAGACCTGGAAAATGGTTGCCTTGGACATCCTAAAGATTTTATCTCTTCAGTCTTTCTTTCTGAATCCATATCACGAATGCATTTGTCTTCCTTGAAGCGACCGCACGGTGAGAATACAGAGCACCGTAAGGGACCCAAACCTCTGTTTTCCCAACACCATCAGTCATGACACGGTAAAGCTCCACACACCAGTCTCAACATTTGAGGTTCTGAAAATTTACAGGGAAAAGTCCTTTCATGACACCCTTGGGCTAAAGCTACCAATACCTGTCACATAATTATCAGCTTCTAATTCATATAGTGTCCCAAACATTCAGGCAGCAGACCTCTGCCAACAAGAACACAGGACACAGGTGATAGTTCTCTGTCATACCTGGAGATCTGCCCACCCTCTTCACTCTGACTAATATGTACCGAGCATCTACTATGCACCAGTTAGTGTCTGAGGCCTTCGGGGAGCTTACGGTCACTAATCTAAACTCTTACCTGGCTTAAAGCAACCTACAGATGCCAAGGTCTGGAATTCTGCCCAGGGAAACCCTGAGAACAGAAACACTACACACTCCAATCCTGCACATCGAATGAACTCAGAAACATTATATTTAATTATGCAGAAGGAGACATGAAAAGCCTGTGTTATTTCTGAGGGTATTCCAGCGTTCCGGATCGCGTAAACGGACTATAAAAATTAAAATGTGCAAGCCACGCAGCGAACATCCTAATGATCACCAACGCTTGCTGAGCACCACCTTTTTAATAAGTATCTTCAGGAAATGATCCTATTGTCTGAACCTAGCACATTGACAGTGTAGCAATACGAGCAGCTGGCATCCTCTCCCCTAGACTCACACCGTCAAGACGGGAGACCACATCCTATGCCCTCACTGGACACTAGAGCCCGCACTGGTCCCCATGGAGATGTTCTATCAGCTTAACCACGTACCAGATTTCAAAGACTTCGTTTAACATAAAAATAACAATGCAATGATTTTTGTATTGCTATCTTAGGAGTCGTATCTCCTGAAAACGTTTTCTTTGCCCTTGGAAGCCCCGTTAGCTGGGCTGGATGAGAAACAGAATGAGACCCCTTAGTCTCTGCTGCATTTGATTTCACTCTGAGGTGGGTGCCCATCATTAGTGGATTAAATTAGATGCTTACTTCCCTAAACACGAGCAAGCAAAAAAGAGCTGGGTTGCCCGAACAATGCCATGTTTAAGGAAGGTCGAGTTGGCCCTGGCTGGTTTGGCTCAGCGGTTAGGGCGTCAGCCTGCGGCCCAGGGAGACCCGGGTTCAGTTCCCCCTAAGGGCACGTACCTCGGTTGCAGTTTGTCCCCGGCCCCAGCTGGGGTCATGCAGGAGGCAGCCACTCGATGTGTCCCTTTCATGTTGATGTTTCTCTCTCTCTCTCTCTCTTCCTCTCTCTCCCTCCCGCTCTATCTGAACAGAAAATGGAAATATGTCCTCGGGTGAGGATAAAAAATAAAAAATAAAAGATATATTCAACGGTGTCCAAAATTGTACTGAAACTAAATGCCAAGTGTGTTTCAGTTTGAAAGAAATCCAGGTTAAACTAAAATTTTCAAGATGATATTCACGACCCAACAAAACATATTTGTATATGTAAATGTCTCTTCCTGGGCACATTGTGGTTTTATCTTCCTGAAAAACAAGATTTAATCAGTTCAGAGTAAGTGTTTTTAAAACTGCCCAACCTGCCCTGGCCGGTTTGGCTCAGCGGTTAGAGCGTCGGCCTGCGGTCCTGAGAGACCCGGCTTCGGTTCCCGCTAAGGGCATGTACCTCGGTTGCAGTTTGTCCCCGGCCCTGGTTGGTCGTGCGGGTGGCAGCCACTCGATGTGTCCCTTCACATCGATGTTTCTCTCTCTCTCTCTTCCTCTCTCTCCCTCCCGCTCTATCTGAACAAAAATTGGAAAAATGTCCTTGGGTGAGGATAAAAAATAATAATAATAAAATAAATAAATAAATAAATAAAACTGCCCAACCAGTTATTTGTCCCTTTAAACACCAGCAGAAGTGGACTCCGCGTGGTCTTTCGCTGTCTTTCGCGGACGTGTCCTTTAGAAGGTGAGCGGCAGCGACACAGACACTATGATAAGTAGTTTAAGAAACTATTAGAAGCCAGCGAGGTGATGAGAACCGTCCAGGCACAGCGTCCCGCTTGTGACCTGTGTTCAGTCGCCCCTGTGGAGGTCAGCCCCAAAGCAGTGACCTGCCCTGGCCAGCCCCCCTTTTCTAGGAAAGCTGATCCATCCCACTCCTGTGATCGGTGATCCTCCCCTTCTCAGAGAATTCTCGAGAAACAACATGTACTGTGTACACCACAGAACAATCAAGGTAAGTGGGTCCACACCGGTGTAGCTTGTACACACGTTCCGGGTCGATGCGGTGCTGAGCGCAGGGAACTCTGTTTACTTCCGTAGGTGATGGGCTCTCAGAGCGACCTCTCCGAAGAAATGGAAGAGCAGACGCTGGAGAAGATTAAAGACCTGAGGGCCAACTACAGTAAATACATGGAGAGCATGTTATCACAGCTGCTGAACACGGTCTGTGACGTGAAACCAGAAATCCACGCGAACTACAGAGCCACCAACTAAACGCGTGACCTGTTGTTCAATAAACAGGTCACAAATGCCACCTGGGTGCTCATGGCTTCATGTTTAGATTAAGAAATTTGACTCCGACCGGTGTGGCTCAGTGGTTGAGCATCGACCCTGCACCAAGGGGTCGCCAGTTCAATTCCCGGTCAGGGCACATGCCCAGGCTGTGGGCCTGATCCCCAGTGGGGGGCGTGCAGGAGGCGGCCAGTCGATGTTCTCTCTCATCCATGTTTCTATCTCTCTCTTCTGCTCTCTCTAAAATCAATAAAGAAAAAAATCTTTTTAATTTTAAAAAAAGAAATTTGAAAGGGTCCTGGCCAGTTTTGCTTAGTGGTTAGAGCGTCGGCCCGCAAACCAATGAGTCTAGGGTTCGATTCCAGTCAAGGGCATGTACCTCGGTTGCATTTGGGTCCCTGGCCCTGGTTGGGGTTGTGCAGGAGGCAACCAGTCGATGTTTCTCTCTCACTTTGATGTTTCTCTCTCTCTCCTCCTTTCTCCTTCCCTCCCTCCCAGTCTATCTGAAAATAAATGGAAAAATATCCTCAGGTAAGGATTTAAAAAAAAAAGGAAAGAAAGAAATTTGAAAGGGGAATCTTCAATGTACTAGCCATCTACAGATTTTAATATGGCGTAATTCACACATTAGCGCTGTTCAAAAGCAAACGGACAACACATTGTTATGTCTTTCCTGGTGACAGCCATGACCTTGTCCTTGAACTTGGAGTAAGTCAAGAAAGCAGAGTAACACGGTTTTTGACACTTGACAAAAACAGGGACCCAACTACTTTTGGTGGGTGTGAGGTTTTCTGTTGTTGTTGTTTTTTAAATGTCTTCCCCTTTTCATCAAGTTAGAAAATATGTTCTCAGTTGTAGTCATTAAAAAATCATTTCTCAAGGAGGATATAATCATGGCTCTCATGCAGATAGAAAGCAAACAGATATCAAGGATTTTATTTAACTCATTAATCAACGAGGAAGCCGGTAAGATGCTACCAGTTCAAGAAGCACCCTAAGAACTTCATAGATAGAAAGAGAAAGACGGGCCCTGGCCAGTTTGGCTCAGCGGTTAGAGCGTCCGCCTTCGGTCTGGAGAGACCCGGGTTCGGTTCCCGCTAAGGGCATGTACCTCGGTTGCAGTTTGTCCCCAGCCCTGGTTGGTCGTGCGGGTGGCAACCACTCGATGTGTCCCTTTCACATCGATGTTTCCCTCCCTCTCTCTCTTCCTCTCTCTCCCTCCCACTCTATCTGTACAAAAAAAGGAAAAATGTCCTCGGGTGAGGATAAAAAAAAAAAAAGAAAGAGAAAGACGGATGGATGATAGATAGATAGATAGATAGATAGATAGATAGATAATAGATAGATGATAGATAGATAGATGATAGATAGATGATAGATAGATGATAGATAGATGATAGATAGATAGATAGATAGATAGATAAAAAGAAATGGGTTATATACCCATCCTGTCTGCCTAATCTCAACTAACCAGATGATCTTCTCTTTCAAGTATAATGTTTAAAATAAAAAAGGAAACGATAGTTAAATGAGCTGCTAACATAGATGTTTAGGTTTAATACATATTCCAATCTCTCCGGGCCTGATTGTCGTTTACTGTTTTCATGGACAGAAATGGTGTTGAGTTCAATGATCTCTGGGTGTCCTTGGACACGTCATTCTCCCTCAATCAGGACAGTTTCAAAACCCTCACACACCACTCAGGTCCTCAGCTCCTTCTGCGGCGTCTGTCACGTTTCCAACAACCTGCACCTGAACACTATCTCGGCAGGGGCACGCGTGATGCCCAGCATCCCAGAGTCTCCGGAACTCACCTCGCTTGGCATTCACATATGATTTCCTATCTTTGCCCCATGGGATGAGTCATTTTCCAAGAACTCTCGCCCTCTGGGGCTGCGGCTCATTTACATCTGAAAGGCGTCTTGCATATTTCAGAGATAACTCACGTACCCTGTGAGGTCTCCTCAGTCCCTGGGAAGCTGCCTATTTCTGCTCCCACTCGCCCATTCACACTGTTGCACAGAAACAGAAGCACCGAGGATGTCTGGATCCTCCGTCCTCCTCATTGTGATCCTCTGCGTCATCGGAAGTGTCAAAAGGGAAAACTCCTCTGTGAAGTTCTTGCCCCTGCGGATGGTGCCCGAAATTGCAACCACCGAAATGCAGAGGAAAGAAGCTGGGGGGGGAGGTGAAGGTTTCTCCCTCGCCGTCAGCTTCTAAACGAAGCCCAGAAGTGCCCGCGATGAATCCCCTGTCACTTTCTAGAGGGACAGCGGAGTCTGCAAGTCATCCTCTCGGTTTCAGATGAGGTGACTTTGGCGGGTGTGGGGTTCCCGGCACCCGAATCAGTTAAGCCCCGTTAGGATGCTGTGTCCAGAAAGCACACTTGCTAGAACTGTTACGAAAAAAAGGTAGCAGAACATTTAGGGGACCATCCCTGCACCTCAACTGTCTGGGTTCACCTCCCAGAACCATGCACGACCATGACCCTGGGCGTGTCACTAACTTTGTGCTCTACCTGCCCATCCAAACGGAAGAGAAACAATGTTCCCACAGAGCGCCGTGGTAACTGAACACTCACGGAACGCTCCGAATGTTACCTGGCGGTGATGAGTGATGTAAGACTTTCTAATAGTAATGGCAATTATTGTGATTATAGTTGAAAATGAACTAAGCCCAATAAGCTGATTTAAGGGGGAAAATGAGCATGGAAGGAGGTGGTGAGGAGTGGCAGAAAACCGCTGTAATTTATTTCTGCAGCAGGTTTACACACTGCTGTGAAGTACCCTGTTTCAGCAGCACTGTTGCTCTCTGGCTGGGTTGGGTGCCTGTCCGGCCCTGTTAGCACCTCCGCTGAAAAGCGTCCACAGCTGTTACCTTGTTACCCTGTTTCTTAACGTGCAATCAATTAATACGAGCATGTGTTCCACAGACAGACCCCAAAGACATTCAGACAGAGCTCACGGTGCACACGAGGCTGTGCCGATGTTCCGCAGACCTGTTTCCCGGGGAATTCACGGTGTGGTCAGTTCCAGAAGATGCTTTCCTCAGCGAACATGTGAACCTGTCCAAACATACCCAGTCAAACCACCACCGGCACCGAGCGGCACGCAGACTCCAGTCTTCGCAGGAGGCACGGTCCCCCAGCAATGCCGGGCTCGGCGCTGAAAGCAAGCTTCGTGGCTGGGAACCTGGATGGAACACCATTTCTGAAAGGACTTTCCAAGAGGTCAGGGACCACGTGGGAAGAAAAGAAAACGTCTCGGACGGTAAGCACACACCAAAGCCACCACACAGCTCTCCGCCCCAGCCATGGATTCGGTGAGCGGGTCTGGTGACATTCATGCCCTTGAATCCACGGCTTCGTGGGCCACGAGCAAGTCCGAAGACCTGACGACGCAGCAGCAGCAAAGGAAACCATGTGAAGGCAGGTTATGGTAATTACAGGCCTATTTCTCTCTTCCCTTTTCTACCCCGCTGCCCTACTAGCTTTCAAAGTGGAGTTTAAAGCTTGGTCCGGTTCTGGAAGTCTTACCCGGGGGCCCAGGAAAGGTGGCCGATCCCCCTTGGTGATTTCCACTGCTCTCTGATAGCGCTTCTCAAGTCCTGTGGCACTGAGACCCAGGGTCTTCCCCAAGGCCTGGGGTCCCTCGAGGGCAGGAACCGTCCTGGCCCTCAGGTCCCAGGTGGAGGTCAATGCTTGGCACATTGTATCCATCAGTGATTCTTTAACATACAATGTTCATCGGCACCGATGGTTTGTCATGATGTGGGAACAGCTCCCGTGAAGGTTGCAACATGAATTTCATAGAATTGGTACTTACACCTGTCTTGGAATTTCCTGTTGGTCTACAGAAGGACACAGAAACCCCCAGGAAGTGGATCAGGAGCTAGCCTGGCGAATTGGGGGCTGGGGGGAGGGGGCCCGGCCACCAGAAAGAACGCGCACAAAGGCCCAGAGGCGGAGAGAACACCGCGCAGGTGTGGACGGGTTAGCAGGGCCGCTCATGAAGGGCCGTCTGGACCAGGGGAAGCAGCTTGTTCTTCACCTGAAATGGGGGGGGGAGGGGAGGCGCTCTGAGCAGTCACGTGATCAGGCTTGTACGCACCGATCTGCGCGCATCCGGTGCGTTAGAAAGAGACCAGGCTGGACACCAGCAGGAATGGAGATGGGGGTGGACGGCGGGATAATAGACAGAACTGGCCGGATGCAGGAGACCATGCTAGACCGCTAGAGAAAAGCACGTTTTAAGGAGAGGTCGGACTGGGGTCCTGAGAAGAAACAGCCCGAGGACAAAGGGGAAGCCAGGAGGTGAGGGTGTGGAAGGGCGCTGGGCACGGACCCTGGCTGGCCCCTGCTGGACAGACAGACTTGGGCCGCTCCCGCCTCCTTGGTGGACTCTGCAGGGCCCTTGCGTGCGCACAGTGTCGCCCGACCCGGGAAGGGCTACCCAGAGGCAAGGTCCGTGAAACTGGACGAAGCCAGTGTCCTCTGTGCTCCCCCAGCCTCAGCCGACACCCTGCTCCCCGCCAGAGCCCGGCTCAGTTCTTGTCCCTGTCTCAGTCCCCATACCCCTCAGGCCGGGCCACTGCCTTCTGGTTCCGGGGGCACGCCCTGGGCGGGCGGGCGAGGGGCCCCGGCAGGTCCCGGGCTCATCCTTCCATCACACGCGCAGGCGCCTGCTCCGACCCGAAAGTCCTCATGTGCTTTCCCCAGGGAGCTCACCTCCCGAGCACATTGCGGGCTGCGTGCGTCCCCTGCACCCCGAGTCAAAGAGGGGGTTCGTGCCCTGGCACGCAGGCTCTCCCCGGCCAAGGCCCTGTGCCCCTGCCTGTCCCCACAAGTCTTTCTTCTGGTTACTCCATGAAAAACTGGGAACACTGGCTTTTCCATTTATCGTGTTTAAAATGTGGCTTTGCAGACACTATCCACAGAGTTTAAATCCGGCGGGTCTGGGGGCAGGTCCATGAATCTGCTTTTC